CATCAAAAACAATATTCACCTGAGTACCTGTACATATAAACACCCAAACAACACATTCTTAATAAGAAAATTCTTTTTAAAAAAAATTTCTTGATTTGAGAAATTATTTTCTTAAAATAAGAAATTATTTTCTTATTTTAAGAAAATTTTCTTATTTCAAGAATTTTTTTTCTTGGGAGAATAACAAGAAAATTTTCTTAATAAGAAAATTCTTTTTAAGAAAAATTTCTTGATTTGAGAAATTATTTTCTTAAAATAAGAAATTATTTTCTTATTTTAAGAAAATTTTCTTATTTCAAGAATTTTTTTTCTTGGGAGAATAACAAGAAAATTTTCTTAATAAGAAAATTCTTTTTAAGAAAAATTTCTTGTTTTGAGAAATTATTTTCTTAAAATAAGAAATTATTTTCTTATTTTAAGAAAATTTTCTTATTTCAAGAAAACTTTTTTCTTGGGAGAATAACAAGAAAATTTTCTTAATAAGAAAAAAAAATTCTTGATTTGAGAAAATATTTTCTTAAAATAAGAAAATATTTTCTCAATTTAAGAATTTTCTCTCAAGAAAATTTTCTTAATAAGAAAAATTTTCTTAAGAAAATTTTCTTATTAAGAAAATTTTCTTGTTATTCTCCCAAGAAAATATTTTCTTATTTCAAGAAAATTTTCTTAAAACAAGTTTTTTTTTTCTTAAAATAAGAAAATGATTTTTTGCTGTGTGAGAGGTCTGTTGCATATGTCACTGTCACTGTTTTTGGGGGATTAGCGTTAATCTTGGACAAAAATTTAACCTGCTGTTTCGATTTGTGTATTTCCGCATCTTAGTTTGTTTCAAAATTTTTGAAAATAATATTTCCCTTGTCCTTGATCCAGACATGATATCTGGAAAGACATGATATCAAGTTTATAAACAAGCTGTCGAATAGACTGCTTTGAAGTTTTCGTTAATGCAGGATTAAGCTAACCGCGGCTTTTGAACAACTTGACCTTGAAGTTGATTCAACTCCTTGAAATTCACAATGTTGTTGTTAGGCTTTGCTATTAATGGAGTATGTCTAGTTTTTATGCTAATCAAGTGAAATTAATATGTCCTGCAAGCGACTTGCGTTGACGTTAAAAGGTTTGAAAATCTAATAATTCTGACAGGTTTGCTATGATGCTATCTCATTGAGTCCTAGGGCAAATACAATCCGTAATAGGCGAAAATCATGACGAGAATTCGTTAGTCGGAAATCGCTTTTTTGACGCAAAACGAAAATAGCTTGTGAACGAAGCAACCACATCCTTGTACGGAGTGTCTGATCTATCCAATTATCAAAGCTGCATACGCATGTCCATCATGCTTTTGCGCTCAGAGATCGAAGTTTGGCGTTTAAAAATTTAAAGACAACCTTAACTGAATTAGCTGTACACTTGTATATACCACACCTATAATTTTCGTGTGCAGTGACAAACAATTTTTGAAGTGAAAATGTGCAGTGGTAAACAGCAAAAATGTGCAGTGATCATGCAGAATTAAACTTTCAAAATTAATTTAGCTCCTAAACTAAGTTTAAAACCCTCCCGGTTTATCAGTTTAGTTCCATATGAGTGTATTAAATAAAATTTTCCCGGGGGTGGGGGTAGGAGGCCAGTTACCAGTAATTTTCGAACTGGCAGACCTACTATTGCTTATGAGTTATGGTTCTTATGGAATGTGCAGTGATAAAAAATTCATAAAATTAGGTATGTGATATACATCTATAATCGAAGGTGGTATTTACAAATAATTAACAAACCTAGATGGCTAGATCCTAATAATAATAATAATAAAAATAAAAAGAATGAAATAAAAATAGGTAAAAGGTAAAAAATGTAAGCATATAGTAAAATTCAGTTATTTAAATTCATTGTATAGCTTCCCGGATGACGGAATAAACGAGTCTCTAAAACGATTAGTTAGATGCATTTAAACGGAACACGTTCTTTGGAAACACGTAAATTGTGACAGTACTAGTGGGACTTTTCACCATGGCCGTTCCATTTTCAAGTCACCGCTACATATTACGCCAAACAATTCTGCCTATACTTTACCACCTCAATAGGCTGTTTGTCAATGGTCATTGGGGAAAATTTGGATTATAGATTTTGAGAGGCAAACAGGAATTTCTTTGCCCTTCCGAGTTTTTAAAGACAAATTATTATTTTCACAACAATGCTTATAATAATTCCATCTAGAGTAATTTGCCGAAAGCCGTTTCTTGATTTGTACGAAAGCTATTAAGGATCAAACGTGCTGAATTTTTATTAATTTTGAGCAATTTTGAACAACACAATATCGCTTGTCTTTTAAAGGCTAAAGGCCATAAACTACCAAGTGAGTTCAATTCAATTTTTACGCTGATCCGGCGAACGGTGGTATTTTTATTCCTGAACCAAAGATAAGGCGCAGCAAAAGTCGGTCGTGAGAGTCCGCGAGGTTAATTGGAAACAAAAATTTTCCAGAAGAAAAGGAAATATAGGGAACGCGGAAGGTTTTTTATTGAGGCGGTTGTGGAAGCATATGATCCCGCACAAACGGCTAAGAAGTTACGGGCAGAATATAAGTGGTGCCAACTGAACTTGGTACGCGCCGCAATTTGCAATGTTATATTTTAATCAGTCAAGTGACGGCAATGGATTGACCGATATCATAGTTGTTACATCCAGTATAAAAATGTTATTAATTGTTAATAGTTATTATTTAAATGCAAGAAATATATATAGTTCATGGCATATTTTGGGAAACCCATCATAATCTGGGCTGGATGATCAGAAAATTATAACTGCTTTCCCGGTCGTTTCGCCACATGCACGTGTATTGAGTTTGTACTGTGCCTGTGGTCTTTATCTGTATTGTGCATTGCGAACTTCATGTGAACGTGTTTGAAACTTGAAAGGTTACCGAAGATAAGTGGCGATCTTTAGTGAGAGTAAAGAGAGCAAGGAGAAAAGTAATTGACGTAACAGAAGTGCTATAGTCTGAGTAGGAAGTATGGTTTAGGATATTTGGAGTAGCGTCTTGACATCTTGTCGTGCACATGACTATCAATGCAATATTGGACGTGGACACTAGATATTGTGCAGATGGTCCACCCTAATGGTCCACGCCCTATAGTAAGATATAAAACAGTGGTTATCTTCAAACTGTTCACAACGAAGCTCGAGTTCACCGTGAAGTCTTGTTGAAAAATTGTCTTAATCATCTGCACCTCTTCTTGGAATATTCTCAGGTAGGTGGAACTGACATATTGCATATTTGACTATGCAATAAAAATAAGACAAAAATGGAAAACTAGCTAACTATAGGTGGGTGCTTGTGATGTTACTCTGAGTGTATATCCACACCGGGCAAACTTGAAAAATATGCCTGGCCACGGTGGGAATCGAACCTACGACCTTTGGAATACTAGCCCAACGCTCTGCCAACTGAGCTACGCGGTCAGGTCGAGTAAGTGATATTTCGGAACAGAATCTAGTTCCTTCGATATCAGTGTAATTTAATAATCATATATTTGCTGTGTTGGTGTAGTGTACTCAGGTGAATAAGATACTTGTGATGTTACTCTGAGTGTATATATCCACACCGGACAGGCTTGAAAAATATGCCTGGCCACGGTGGGAATCGAACCTACGACCTTTGGAATACTAGCCCCAACGCTCTGCCAACTGAGCTACTAATTACTACTATAATTTCAAGAACTTTCGAAATCTTTTTATTTGCCGTAATTTGGAGATAAAAAGATGGTCGTTCTCAAGCATTTTGTGGGGTTTCCCAATATATGGCAATAATAAATTGGTGTATTTTGGTTTTTAAAGATATTGCATTACCTTGACGTTACCGTGATACTATTGTTATAAAACACAATAAGAGGGACCTTGTAGATTGCATGGTAAAAATAAATATAATTGGGTTTTTTTGTGGACACGTTTATTTCTTTGCCTCGGCTTTGCCTTTGAGGCTTTGACGAAGCTTTCGATCCAAGTCCATTGGTGCTTATAATTCTCCTTAAGGTCCAGACACACCGGACGCGATTCGACAACGTGACGCGTTTTTCGATTTTCACTGACCGATAACTTTGATCCTAGTTTAAACTTTCCAAATATATAGAAGCGTTATAACATTTTGACTAGTTATTTGGTCGACATATCTACATAAAATGTGCTCTCATTGGCTATTTTATATATAAGTGATTTTGATTAAAATTACTGAATAAAGTGAATAATTTTCAAAAGTTTTTCCCAGTTCTAGGTCCTTGAATTTACTGAAAAAGGGTCTTGAAAGTCCTGGAAAAGTCCTTGAATTTCACCTTCACCAAAGGGTGGACACTCTGTATACAGTTGCTACGTCCTATAAGCCGTTTTGTTTTTTGCGTAAGAATGGATCTATAATTTACAAACTCCAGTTCCGACTTCCTATCTTTTGACCATTTTTCTATAGCAGATAATAGATATACACAATGACAAATTTACTTCAGACGAGGGGTCTTTGCTCGAAACGTCGAAAGCTTGTTGAGCAAATCTACCCATGGGCGTACTGGAAGGAAAAAATTAGGGGGGGGGAAAGAAATTTGCCCGACTTTTTCGGATTGTGCCCGACCAGTGCCGAAATTTTTTTTTCCGGAACAATTAATTTTGGCGACCTTCCCCCCCCCCAAAATTTTCCAAACATCACAAAATTGACATAATTTCCCGCAAAATTGACATAATTTGTCCCATGCATTCATTTTTATAATAACCCAATATTGCCCGACTGTGAAGCGAATATTGCCCAAATGGCTTTGTTTGCCCAACAAACTGTGGTTATTATTAAGAGAGATTTTATTGCTTTGATTACTTTTTTGGCTTTTTAATTTCCCACTCTTCGCCGACTTATGTTAAGCCGTAACGCCGTGCAAGTCGCTGGCGTTATGGCTTCACTGGTCCAACCGAATACACTGACAATCAACTGAGCTGTGGCGGTAGGTCTGTCCAATGGTCACGACATGGAGGCAAATGTGGTGCATGTGGAGACGAATATGGTATCAGCAACCCCAGGTATGTCTATCCTGGCGCCTTTGCAAATCAACCACCAATTGTCAAGACCTACACCGAAGGATCACTGATTGAAGTGACTGTGAAAATAACAGTCAATCATAAAGGGTATTTCATATTCCGCGTAGCGCCATTGGTTAATCCACCGATCACGCAAACAGATCTGGATAACACCATGCTGGAACTGGAGAATGGTGACCAGGAATGGAACCTGGGTGATACTGGCGCTGGTGATTATACCATCACACTCAGGCTACCCACGGGATTGTCATGCGTCCACTGCGTACTTCAATGGTGGTATACCACCGGGAATAATTGGAAGGGGCACGAACCAGAGACATTCGTCAACTGTGCTGATATCAAGATCTTGCCTGCAACCAACCCACAGACAGGCACAAACGAACCACCTGTCACTGCCCCACCCGCTACTACCCAACCCGCACCACCCGAGACCAACCCAACCGCACCGCCTTCCACTGCCCCACCTTCTTCAGGGTGTTATGCTGTATCGCCAACAGCGACTGATGCTTGGTGCACTGCGAATTGCGCAGCTGGATACTGCCCTGCATCACATTGCGCCTGCAGTTAACTGTATCACGAGGGTCTAAACGTTCAAATAGAAGCAAGTGAAGATGGTTCCCGATAAGTCACTGTCTTTATCTGTTTTTTATCTTGGATATAAATATTCATCAATCGCTTCTGTTTTGATCGTCCTGTTATTTTTATTAATTAACTAGTATTATTATGTGCCTTGCATTACATAGACTGCATAGCTAGAGGTGCCTCGGTTTTCTGAAACGAAACTATATATGTACATTAATATACATGCAGGGTTAAGATATGGTTACCCATATATTGAGAAAGCGTTAAAAAGTATTTGTCTTTTATTATTCTTGTTCATGTAGGTGCCAATAATTTTTTTCTAATAATATGGTAACATTAAAGTTGGCAATAAATAACTGACGACTACATTATCCAAGTGTTTCTTCACCGACAAAATATCTTGGTAGAGGCCTGACCGGACCGGGGTGGATGTGGAATTTTCAGCTTGCACGAATTTTTTTCGACCGTATGCTCGTGCTGGCATTTTTTTTCGGAATTTCAAAGGTATTTTTCTTTGCTTTCCTTTTTGCTTTCCTCTTTGCACGAATTTTTTTCTTTTGTTTTCCTTGCGCGAACTTTTATGCCCCCTACATCAATTTTTGATGGTCCGCTCGCGTGGACTGATTGAGTTGGCTCAGTGAACACTGGGTTGGCTGGACGTGATCCACTGCTTGACTTCCGTCGAAAACAGAAAAAGCCCACGTTTATTTTTTTTTGGTGTTCTGTTTTCACTAAAGAATTACAAAATTAATGAATTTTTAGCGATTCCCAGCAAGCCTTTCGTGCTCGTATTCGACTTTTCCGCTTTGTTTGGAGACAACCTTAATTGAAATAGCTGTATACTCCCTATGTTACTATAATGAATTCTGCACGAAGCAATAATGATAATGACTATCATCTCAGAAATTATGATACAGATCTCTCACTTCCAAAACCTAGCTAAGAAAGAATTTCTTAAAGGAAGCTTTAGGTATAGTGGAGCTGTACTGTGGAATAGCCTTTCTGCTGAGGCTAGTCTGCTCATTCGATTTATTGTTTCAAAAGACTTATTTGAATCTTGTTTTTAATTGTTATTCCATTTGTAACTACATATTATGTTCTGGGTAATATTCAGGGACGCCGGAACTGGGGGCAGGGGGGGCGGCTGCCCCCCCTTGCCTTTTGCTAGGGGGGGCAGGGGGCAGAAGTGCCCTTTTAGTTGTAAAATACTACGTGATAAATCACATTTACAACAATGCTTTTTGTACGAAAATCATGAGATTCAGACAATTTATAGTTTATATTTGACCAATTGCCACCTGGCGATCCCATAATACATTGCATTTGCAAATAATACAATGTATTATGAGAATGGGATTGCCAGGGGGCAATTGGCAGCGCAAAACAAAGGGGGCCTGCGAACCGGCAACTCCTCCAATTGCAATTTTATTTTCATATTAATTTATACTGTATTAACAAAAAATTATTTTGAAAAGCGCGCGAAAATGTTCAAATGAGCCCGCGATACCATTCATCGGAGACATTCCATGAGAGACATGCGCCTCATGCGCCTATCTCAGATCTTGAATCTTCTCCTCTTGACAAAAAGCGTGAAAGGTTTTGTAGAGAAGAACGTTTGGTAATATACAAACTGATTGTAGTTATTAAATTACTGTTAATTGGTAAGTATTCAAACGTATCTTGTCGTGATTTCTCTGTGTTGGTGCAATGTACTCAGGAGAATTGATGCTTGCGATGTTTTATACTCTCTGAGTGTATATCCACACTGGTGTAGCAGTCTCATCAGCCGCTCCTTGCGTTATCAACAATATAGTATTGTAATTATCAACCGTTATTAGCAATAAGTTATTGGGTTGTATTAAACCCTAACCGCACATTATCTCTGTGCTAAATGTCAGAAACATTTTGGTAATTTCAAAAGAATTGTAGAACATTTTAGAAGAGAGCATTCTACCACCGAACCAACTGGTATTGGTTATATTTGTTCTATATGTAATATGGTTTTTGATCATCCAAGGCAACTAGAAAGTTACATGGATATAGTCACAACCGAATGCAAACTGAGTAAAATATTGTAAATAAGTAGGTCAGGGTGCAGTGCACCCCAAAACCAGTGGCTTAAGAGAGGGTTTGAGACTTGCAGCTCAAAATTCCATGTGGGAGTGAATAAGAATACACAGAAAAACCCCACAACTTTCAGTAGAGTGTTGACAGGCTCCTTTCACACAAGTGTTGTGAGTCCACAGTGAAGAGAACCCATGATCTTGTTTGTTCTGTTGTTCAATTGTGCCACTGATATGTGTATCACTGCAAAAAGTGTGAGATTTTTTTTTTTGGGGGGGGGGATTTTGAGGATTTGTAGAAATTTTAGAGATTTTTAAAGGGTTTTCAGGCGGGACTTTTTTCGAGGTGTACGAAAGATTTTTGGAGTGATAACACCTCAAATTATTTAATGAAAATTTCCGATTTATTTATTGTAAATGTTAAATATTATAAATTGTAAATGTTTGATCTTCCAAGTCTATGAAAAATCATATGGATAGCCATAACCATTTGCAAACTGAAAAGTTATCCTTGTTAATAAATTTACTAAGTTATTCACAGTTAATTAATATTATTAATGTCAACATTTTAAGTATTTATTTTAGTATGTGTAAGGGAAGCCTCACATATCGATTTTGTCCACGAGAAACGTCATATGTTCGTTTCTCTGGAGACCCCCCCACCCCCCCACCCCCCCCTTAGAAATGTCACACATAGTTATCGATATTTTGATCTTATTGTAGTACACATAAGGTAATTTTCTACTATTTTTTTCGGTCGGCTATTGGCGATGCTTCCGCGAGGAATATGTCATCTTCTGCTGACATACTCTTTTTTATTAATATAAGTATGAACTTGCGAGTTTGAGTGCGTTTTTTTTTTAATTTGAGTGTTTTCAATGCAAGGAAGGCGTAATAATATAAATGTATAAGTATAGGACAGGTATGGTATTACGAATATATAGACTGCTGTTTGTATCAAATTGTTTTCTTTTTTATATTCTGCAAAGATAAAAACTATCGAATTTTTCCATGATGTTTACAGAGAAACGTCACAGCTGCCAACCCCCCCACCCCCAAACGAACATATGACGTTTCTCGTGCAAAAAATCGATATGTGAGGCTTTCCTTTAAAGCCTGGTTTCCATATGATGCCGACCAGCCGCCGACTTATTGTTGGTAGTCATTGAAGAAGAAAATGATTTCAGCTACACAAAAGGATTTTACTCATGAGTAATCACCGACAATGGAACTCGCCAACTGTCGGCATCATAAGGAAACGAAGCTTTATATGTAGTTAGAAATGGGAGAGTTCCTCTCATGGGAATGTGAGTCCCGTTCACACTCTCACTGCTTGGACATGGGACAATCTATACTCTATAGAGGGTCATCTAGATCAAGAATGAAACTGAATAAGCCACTTACCACTCTGAATCCTTTATTTATCTTTGTAAATAGCTAAAATTAATTAAGAACTAAATTAAATAATTACTCAACGCGAGAACACATTTTGAAAGTACTCTAAACATTCTAACAAGGGAAGCTAGAATAGATGAATACTAAAAGCTTGCATGCATTGTTGAGTCCTGGGCTTGTCAAGCAGGCATATACAGACACCCTGTGCCAGCAGGGGCGGCGCTAAAGTGCGGGGGGTTCAGTGGAACAGTCGTCAGGTAGTCGGCAAATCATTATTTTATCGCAGTCGTCAAATTGTTTTCCCATTCGGCAAAACATGAACTGGATACGAAGGGAAAAAACTAATATATTTTAGTGAAAATTATGAAAAGTGACAATTATTCATAAAATCTGGGAAAATATCAATGAAAAATTTATGTCCACAGAAATTTTTGCGGACAAGCATTGTATTTTTGAGATAGTTTGTAAAACCCGGAAGGCGGAACTCCCCCAAAACCTGAAGACATTCGCTCGGTATTTGCACGCGCTTTTAACAAATTCGACGCGAAGTTTAATAAATGCAATCAGATGAGTTGTTCTGATGTTGTCACGTTTGCCACCTCTCTACAACAGATTTGGATTGCTAGTTTTATCCTTACTTTTTATCTAGGCTAAATATATAAAACTATTTCGGTTTTCCCTATGATTTGGGTTCCAGGGTGTTCCGGGTTTTACAAACACCCACAATAATTGTAATATCACATGCATATTTAATAATTCCGGTCCATGTCAAAACAACAAACTTCATCAAAGCCATAAATTTCAGTATATTAGTTATATTATATCACAGCATGAAGCAATTCCAAACAGCTGAATTGGTTAGCGGGTTGCAGAAATACAGACTGTAATAAAAAGTCCAAGTTGATATAGTGTAAATACAATATACACTCTAGCATCGGGTATATAAATATCTGAAAACAACAATACATTAAGCCAGAGTATAAAAAGGCTTTTTAATTTTGAATAGCAAAACTAATAATAAACTTCATGCTGTAAAGTTGCAGCTACACGTTTCAATTCAAGCTACACGTTTCAATTCAAAAAAGTTCGAAAGATGCAAAATTTGGGCAATGTTTATATCTGCGGGTCCCCCTCACTGATGTTCCCCTTTGTCACTTATGAGCAGAACTGATGCGCAGAACGGACTTTACAGCATCTTAACATTGCCTTGTCCAGTATTCTTTTATATAATCCATGTCCACATATTCAATGTTCAAGGCAACGTACTTGTTTCGCCTACACAATGGACCTTTCTTGCATATAATGACGTCAAACGCGGGAAAACACTCAATGCAATATCAAATTATGTTTTTTACGAAATTTATTGGCTCGCCAACGACTTGTTTGTCCTGGGTTACCCGTGTGACGTCGGAAAAGTTTATTTTCCGTTTCGTAAACCGCCGTCACATTCAATGAATATGAAATCAGATATTCGCCACGCGTGTTGTGCTGGCATCGGTAGTAATTCTGTGTCGAGTATTGTTTGCTCTGTTTTGTTTCACTTTCGCCTTCAAGTTATTAACATAGTTGAAATTCTGAACTTCATTCATCTAAACTTTCGGCTGATAGGTCCCATGACGTGTAGTGCCCACATAACCTGAAATTAATTATGTTCGTCTGATGCCTAGAAATTTTTAAAAGGCCCGTTGTCACTACATACCAGGGGCAGCACTAAAAAATTAAAGGGGGGGGGGTAGTGTCAACGTAACCCCCCGCCCCCTAGTCATGTGGTAGTCGTCAAAATAATGAATCCTAGTCGGCAAATTGTTTTCGTAGCCGGTAAAACATGAATTTAATAGAGAAAAAATTTGAGTGAAACAGATGAAAATTATAGCTAAAATTTGGAAAAAAAATTCACGAAATATGAAGGAAAAAATGAAACATTAAAGGAAGAACGGTACGTTAACCTCAAATAACATAAGGAAGCTAATGTGCGGGAAAATGTTTTACGATACGACCTAATTCCCCCAACGTCCGGAAACTTTACGATGCGACCCTTCACCACCACCCCCCCCCTCCCCCGCCAACCATTTTTGGGTAAAGAAATATGAATTATATAGCGATTGAAATTGTTTGGCAAAATTTCAGTTACCGACTCGGCAAAATTCTCTTACACTCCCCATTCAAATAGCTCTAGTGCCGCCCCTGCTACTCAGCTGGCACAGACCGTTTGAATGATAATTCCTAGTCTCTTAGACGATGATATCATTTTTTGAGTACCGCTAACTTTAGTTCGTGACTTCGTGTTGTTTGTGTGCGTGATCAGTGGTTTAAACGCGGCTACTACTAAAAAGCGATACAACGATAAGAGAACCGAAACCTGGAACTGCGCATAATTTATACAAATTATCGCGCTTAATCACCGTGGGATTTTTTCCAATATATATCTGAGAAATATATGCCGTAAAAACGCAAGAATAAAAAGGGGTCGACCATATGATTCGACGATCATGCGAAGTAAAACGTTTTAGAATTTTACTCTACGGCAAAGGCAACTATAAATTGCATTCCCTAATTAGAGAGTTTGCGCGAGAGAACGAAGTCGGACGACGACAACGTAGTTCACTAAATTTTTGCCTGTCTTGCGCATTATCTTGCGCATTCTGAGTTGAGAGTCAGGGGTGAAGACAGATTATTCATCAGGACAAAACAGCGAGACATGAGTCCATATCCCGTTTTCGTTCTTCTGCCTTCGTTCACAACGAATATTTTGGCAAAATTCGTTGTGTACTTCGTTCCGAACGAAGGCAGAAGGACAAAGACGGACTGATATAGTTTCATGTCTCGCCGTCTTTTTCTGGGTCAGGGCAAGAATTAGGGTCAGTATTCATAAACAGCGACACATGGGAAGACACATTGAGCAACCACCAGTGACGTCCAACTCAGCATGCGCAAGATAATGTGCGGACGGGAAAATTGTCAAGCACGCCTTCGTCTTCATACTTCCTTGTGTCTTGCTCAAACTCTCTAATGAGCATTCCAGTGCGCCTTGGTTGTTCAAACTGCTACGTTATTTACATAATTTTCACGGCTCATAACCACGTCAACAGTAACGTTTGAAGTCGTGTGGGTGTTCCGAGATGTAAACACTTACACCTCCCATGCAGGCTAGTTCCTGTATCCGGATCACACGCTGACCGGATGTCACGCACTCACGCTGACCACTGTCACTGAAAGTGGTGACTGGCGATTTACGAAATGGAAAATTGCTTCGCCTACACAGTTTCCAATCAATTTTATTACATTATATATATATATATATATATATATATATATATATATATATATATATATATATATATATATATATATATATATATATATATATATATATATATAGGTGCGATTATTATACTTTTATTAATTGATAAGAAAATAATACGATGGGAAATGATCAATTCTATCGAAAACGTTTGCAAGAGACCGTGTTGTGTATACTAGAAACCTTTTTATTCAGTGGGGAAATCAACTCTGCCAGTCTGTCGCTGAATATTATATGGACGGAAATTGATATTCAATGAATCTTCTAAGTCGCAAGCGTGTGTAACATTATTAATAGTACAAGGAAACGTTTTATTCATAACTTTTTTTGCCGTTTTTGTGTTGGTAAAACACACGTTTAATATTAACATAACAGTCAGTTTAATTTTACGAAATGCGCAGAACTGTAACAAAACGCCAACAATCAGGAACTGATTTGGAGTCAACAACTCGGTCAAGAAGCGGATTTCAAGAAGACCCCTTATATAAATACGTGTTGCAAGAAGACCCCTTGTACAAATACGCGTTTAGTACACATGCATAACATACATGTATACGACACCAATGGCACTGAAAAAGGAACGATTTACACCAATTTATACAAAACATGAATATATGCATGCTGACACATCGCGGTATATTTATCTTTATTTATATTTTTCTTTATTTATATTTTTATCAATCAGATAAATTCAGGTGAATAAACAGCATTTCTGTGTTATTTGCTCTTCGGTTATCCAAAGAGAAACGCAATCTTCAATTTTTCAATTCAATTTCAATTTTATTTCATTTTCAATCTGCCAAGTTACTGTATCGTATCGCTCGTTCCATTTAACTCATACAGAAAGTTGTCAAAGGATTTGTTAATATTGTAGTTTGAAAAGGACTTGTTATTGTATCACTGGGCGGGAGTGCGAAGCTGTCATTCCGAGTTCCCAGTTGTCATCAGTGACGCCCAGATGCATGCACGTACTTATACCTCGTTGCCGACGTTTGTATAATATAAAGCGACTAAATTAGAAAGAAACCGTTAAGTCGCACCACAACACAAATCACAATGTCAATGACAAGAATATTTCTTCTCGTTATTTTGTTTGCATCGCTGCCTACGAAACGTGCACTGGAAGGTAAGAAAAGTTTGCCTAAGATATAATCCAGTCCGTTTTTACCCCGGTTTTGTGAAAGCTAATAAGCTCAATACAGTTTAGTTACGATAGTTTAATGAATATAGTAAGCATGCAGACCTAGAAAGAGCGTTTAATGTTCCTCTGATCCTGAATTTTCCGTTTTCAAATGTTCTTCAAAAGTGCAGCGTAAAACAGTGGAAAATATAATCGTACATTAAGGCCCGGTTTAGACGGCGAACTTTCTATGCGCCGAACTCACTACCTAACCTAATAAAACGATTAAGTACGAGAAAAGAACGGCGTCTATATCAATTGAAGTTGTGTCGTATTTTGCGACACAGGTTGGACATGGGTTTAGACCCGTGCTTGGCTGCTCCCAGTGCTTTTTATGCGCCGAACCTCGTTTAATTAAATTTGTGCTAGCTGGGCTTTAAATTCGATGGCTTTGGTTTATATTTCTGCGGCTAGATTATAGAATACCCATCCATTTCTGATGCTAGAAAGTTTCGCAAATCCAACGGCAATGAGAACGTGCTCATCAGCAATAATAGAGAGGTTAAGATACCCCGGTTTCGGTGTACGTGTACGGGTAGCATGATTTTGGTTAGCAATATTTTCGTCGATGTCTGTACCTTTACGCGTAATTAAAGGCACAGTTCAGCCTGTTGAGCGATGGTTTTTAAGGCACATTTCAGCCCTGTTAATTGAAAAAACTAACTAGGAAAATCAATTAAGCATAATTCAAAATCAGTAAACTCGATGTTTTTAACAATATGAATGTTTTAAAATGTTAAAAACATTAAGATT